GTCTTTTTCTTCTAGAGTGAAACTAAAGATCCTCCCCCAAATCCTACGCATTCCTTTTACTTTCATTATCAGTTATTCAGTCTTCCCTCTTCTTATACTTAATAATTAAACAATACATTCGATGATTACTAAACCTTATATCAAAAATACCCCAACTGATTGTGGTAGGATGAATATAATTCTTTTACTCTTAACCAATGATTCTTAACTAGATATCTCATCAGGTTTCGAACTCCGAGAATAATTTTTTTTTAGTGAGGAGTATTTTTTATCTTTTTACACGATGAGCATCCGTACTAGTCAACCAAAAAAAATACTTTGTAGAATAAACAAATTCTTCTTTAGAATAAAAACTTTACATCAATTGGGTATTCTAGGCGCAGCCATAAACGGAATATAACAAGAATATTTGAATCTACGCTTTAACTATCTAGCCCACTTTTAGTGGACTAAACTTTTCTTATTCAAACATCAATACTTTAAAGAGTTGTAAATTCTTCCTTTAAGCCATTTTAATAGTCAAATTTGGCCTTTATTCATTAACAATTTCCACTTGTCTTTATGCATTAACTAATGTATCACCCCCTCCAAAGGCTCCACAAATGTAATAGTCATACTAGTAAAATACAGAGAAAAAAAGAATCTGTAATTACAGACTGGGTTTTCATATTGTCAAGTCAATGCCTCAGCCGTCTTCATCTTCCTTAGCTTTGCTATTTCCTGCCCATTTCTCTTGTACATATTATCAAACACCTTGTACCAATTACACAGAGCTGTTAAATCCCTAAAAACCCTTGGAGGCTCTGCTCAATTACACGATGACTCGCTTCAGATTTCTGTTAATTCTGCTTTTTCTTGTATTTCCTCAGTTTTACGATGCTGCTGTAGTTGAAGATGATCTCAAATGTTTAGAAGGATTCAAAAAGTCCTTAGAAGATCCAAGCGGGAATCTGATCTCATGGGACTTTACCAATTCCACTGTCGGCGCTATCTGCAAGTTTACAGGTGTCAATTGCTGGAACGAACGCGAAAATCGAATCAACGGCCTCGCTCTTCAGACCATGAACCTCGGCGGGAAGGTAACAGAATCGTTGGAGTATTGTGCCAGCTTAACAACCCTTGATCTTTCCGGTAACCGCTTTTCTGGTCCAATTCCTTCGCAAATTTGTACTTGGCTCCCTTTTTTAACAACCCTAGATTTGTCCAGTAACGATTTTTCTGGCTCTATACCTGCGGATCTTGTTAAATGCGCTTATTTGAATAAATTAATGCTCAATGATAACAAACTTTCTGGAAATATTCCCCCTGAATTTTCTAGTTTCAGTAGGCTCAAAACTTTATCTGTGGCAAACAATCAACTTTCCGGTAGAATCCCGGCGGCTTTCGACTCGGCCGATTCGGCTAATTTTGAGGGAAATAGTGGACTCTGTGGTGGACCTTTGGGGAAATGTGGAGGACTCAGTAAGAAAAACTTGGCTATTATTATTGCGGCAGGTGTCTTTGGTGCTGCTGCTTCTATGTTGTTGGGTTTTGGTGCCTGGTATTGGTATTTCACTAAGGCCGGGAAGAGGAAGAGAGGGTATGGGATTGGTAGAGGCGACGACTCAGATAGTTGGGCTGAGAAGCTGAGGACTCACAAGCTCACTCAGGTTATGTTGTTTCAGAAACCTCTAGTTAAGGTTAGATTAGTTGATTTGTTGGTCGCCACGAATAGTTTCAGCACGGACAATGTTATCAACTCGACTAGAACGGGGACCACTTATAACGCTGTGTTACGCGATGGTTCTGCGCTTGCCATTAAGCGGCTTAATGCTTGCAAACTGAGCGAGAAGCAGTTTCGGGTTGAGATGAATAGGTTAAGTCAACTTAGGCATCCTAATTTGGTGCCACTTCTGGGGTACTGTGTTGTTGAAGAGGAGAAGCTTTTGGTTTACAAGCACCTGTCGAATGGTACTTTGTGTTCATTCTTGAATCGGAATGCAAGTGAATTAGATTGGCCTACTCGGTTTAGAATTGGTCTGGGTGCTGCTAGGGGCCTTGCTTGGTTACATCATGGTTGCCACCCACCTATCTTGCACCAAAACATATGTTCTAATGTTTTTTTCCTCGATGAAGACTTGGATGCTAGATTAATGGATTTTGGGCTGGCAAGGCTGATGACGCCTTCAGATGCAAAAGAGTCTAGTTTTGTGAATGGGGAGTTGGGTGAATTTGGTTATGTAGCTCCGGAGTACTCTAGCACAATGGTGCCTTCACTGAAAGGGGATGCTTACAGCTTCGGGGTAGTGCTTTTGGAGTTGGCTACTGGACAAAAACCTCTTGAAGTTACTGCTGGTGAAGAGGGCTTCAAGGGTAACTTGGTGGACTGGGTAAATCAGCTCTCTGCTTCAGGTCGCATTAAAGATGCAATCGACCAGAACATATGTGGGAAGGGGCATGATGAAGAGATTGTACAATTCCTAAGAATTGCTTGTAATTCTGTGGCTTTTCGGCCCAAGGACAGGTGGTCTATGTATCAGGTTTATGAAGGACTTAAGAGCATGGCTGAAAGACGTGGTTTCTCCGAACAATATGATGAATTTCCATTACTATTTGGCAAAGAAGGTACTACGAGCAGTCCTATTTGAAGCCGGAATTTTCAAAGCATTTCAATATGTTTCAAACCAAGTGAATATGATGCATCCTGCTGTAAGTTTTCAGCTCCTATTGGTGTAAGTGGCACAACACCATTTTGATTGGCTCAGGAGTACACACCTAAGAATATTGCTGTATTATATTTGCAAAATGCACAAATTAATCTCAAGTATTTTGCTTGTTTGAAATATGTAGTATAGGAAGCGACTGTTTATTGTTCTTCATGTATGTGATTATTGTTGCGTATAACATTGGATGTTATGTTCTCGGAGGATCCTCAACTAAACATCTCATTTCTTGAAACTGGTCTATATTACTGCTAGTTTAGCTCTTGTTCGGAAGCAATTGGGTGGAGTGTTTGCTTCTTAATGTTGAATCAATGGCCTTTGTTATTCATGTGTTGCTTGCAACTAGTTGTGTATATCAAAAACTGAAAAACTACGCCAAACCAAAATATCCAATCAAACCAACTAAAAATCCGGCATCTATCTGGTTTGATTTGGGGAAAAATTGAACCTGAGTTTGACATATAAATTTGTGCTGTGCAAGTATTTTTTGGATTTATGTGTGCATGTATATATTAAAATATTATATAGCTTTTCTAAAAATAAGTTGTTTAGACATATTCAAGATCCTTGTTTGGGATGTAATGTTTAATACTCCATGTTTATTTTAGAAGATCACGTTTCGTTCTGTTTACATACTTGATTTTCATGGTCACTTTGTTATCAGGTGTTTGTTGAAATACTTAAACCCTCGTGTTCTTTCATGTTCACAAGCCAAGATTAATTAAATGGAGCATCTAATTGTTAAGGTTTCATATTGATTTTTGCATTTTCTATTGATGTTTTTTTGGAGTCATTTCTTCATCTTTGATTATCCAAAATCTATTAACTTGAAAGCATATATGAATGTCACATTGTTGTTGGATTAGTGATTGCGAATTGTATTTTTCATCTTGGGTTTACATTAATTAGTAATTTCAGTTTATTTTCTAATTCTCTGTCTTTGGTGATGATTTTTTGTGAGCTGGAGTGAGGTAGGGTTTGATCATTCAGGCCGATGCTGCATTTTATCTAGTCTATCGGCTAACGTTAATTAATCAAGGCTAAGTTTAAAGGAGGCCCCATAATCAAATACTGTTGCTAATTACAGCTATTATGCTCAAGGCCTCTCATTTCCTCAGGGTAGGAGTGGCAAACGGGCAGGTCGGTTCGGATATGGTTCAGGTCGAAAACGAATAATGAAAAAAAAATTTATCCGACCCGACCCATATTTAATACGGATAAAAAATGGTTACCCATATTTAATATGGGTAACCATATTATCCATGGCTTCTTCCATATGATCCGTTTTGGGAGAATTCCTAGTCTCCCTAGCTTGAGGAACCCCAATTTGAGGCTTTACAAATGTAAAAGTTAGACTCATTGGTTATCCATTGGTTAACCATTGGTTATCCATTTTCTAAATGGATAATATGGTTCTTATCCATATTTGACCCTTTTTAAAAAAGTTTATTATCCAATCCATTTTTAATGGATAATATGGGTGGTTAACTATTTTCTTTTAACCATTTTGCCACCCACTACCTCAGGGCGATGGAGAGTAAAACTAAAGTCAAGTTTAGGCCAAATTCCACTCTCCCCACATTTAGAACGTAGCCCAGAAAGAAGAAGGAAAAGAGACGGGGGAAAGCAGCTTTCTTTCGTTAGAGGTATGGTCAGTGTTGCGACTTTTCACGAACACAAATCACACGTCTCATAATATATTTCAGCCTTAGGTTTAATTGAATTTTGACCAAATGGCAACTTGTTAAAGATATAAACTTTTTCCATCAATATTTTTTTTCACATAGCTAACAAGTGAGTGCGAAAGCTTATGTAGATTGGTCATTGACATTTATTAAACTCGTGAAATTGCAATTTGAATGGTAGACTTTTGAACACTTGATTGTCCGTGGATGTAATGGTTAAAATAACTCAGTGAAGGGATTGAGTGGAGGTTATGATCATGCATGTGCTATGCTAATCTTCTTTTTTATGATTAACCTTTATTCTCTTTCAAAGACCAGAATTCTACCTTTTGAACACTCTGACAAACTTTTTGAACATCTAGAATGCCACCGAAAATTGAAACATTAAGCTAAGTGAGGATTAAATCTAATAATTGCAGTTTACTGGGCATCAGTCACGGCTAAAAATGTTGAACAAAAGTAAACTTTAACTAATTATTGTTTAGGAGCTTAGCTTTATCTTGTGAAATTTGCTACTTAAAGAAAAAAATAATTCCACTCAAACCAGAAGCAAAAACTTGTTCTTTTGAATCGTCAAAAGTGCCAACATAATCATTCAAGAAAGATTCCCCAAAACTAATTAATATCTTAGAAACTCCCCATTTTTCATATGCATTTATCCAATATTTCTGTCTATCTTTTGCTGTGTCCCAATTATAAATGACACCCTCCTAAAATACTAAAAAGGAACAAAAAAGTGGGTAGCACATACAATCAAATCACATCCTGCTTTCATCTTTCATAAGTCTTGAAAAGTTTTACTTTCCAATCTTCTTTCCATCGTTAATTTAAATCTCCTGAGAATTTCACTCTACTTCTCTACAAACAACATCTCCGAAGAAGTCCTAAACATAGATGGATCCAAAATTTGGAGTTTATGGATTCTAACCTTTAAGTTTTTAAAATTTAATTCATTACACTTTTGAAATTATGATTTCAAAATTTAATATTTGTTAAAACTTTGTTTATTTTTACATATATTTATATTCACTGTCGAAATTACTGATTCATCTAAACAACTTAAATAAGGCTACATCCGCCTCTGCGTGCCGATAGATGCATAGCTACTAGTACATTCTTAGGAAACAGCTACTTGTGATCACTGTTTGTATGTTGTGAATATGGTTGAAGGATCTTCTTACTCTTTACTAGAGTGCGTTCAATTTTTTTTTTTTAAGCTCAAGCTCGAGTTGGTGGCTCCCTATACTTCCCTATTTTCCTGAAAACCAAGAAACATAAATAAACGTCATAAACTATAACGTAAGTTTGTCTCATTTGTATCATACTAATGCATATATAGAACAGTAATGTACCTGTTATGTATGGCATTTGGTCCAGTAGGCACTCTTCTTTTGCTTACATAATTGATATTTGGATTCCTTTGAAGATATTGCCTCTCAGCTTCTATTATCTTCCAAACATCTAAAGATTTAATTGCCCTATCGTCAACTATTTTGGTTGCAGCCCTGGCTGCCTTCCCTGCTTTCCTGAAAAAACCAAGAATATACATAAAAAGCTTAACTTCTACATATTGATAGAGTTTACTATTAGTTCACCTAAAAAATTAATATTACAAGTAAAAAGGACAGTCGGTGCACTAAGCTTCCCAATGAGCAGTGTTCGGAGAAAGGCCAGATCATATTGAGTCTATTGTACGAACCCTTATCTTATATTTTTGGAAGAGGCTGTTTTCACGGCTTGAACTCATGACCTCGTGGTCACACGGCTGCTAGGATATAAGGTATAGTAGGTAATATACTACAACTTAAAATACATTTCTAATGTTTTTGCATGCAAGTGAATACTAATGTGCATATATATAGAGAGAGAGGGAGGGAGAGAGAGTAAATACCTGTTCCGAATAGCGTTGAGTCCAGTAGACGCTCTTCTTGCGCTAGCATAATTGAGATTTGAATTCTTTTGAAGATAATGCCTTTCAGTTTGTATTGTCTTCCAAACATCTAAAAGATTGATTGTTTTGGTGGTAGCTGTTGCCTGCTTGGCTAAACTTCCATTGAATACAAGCCACAGTAAACTAAGTAAAAGAAGAAACCATAAGAAAGCCTTCATTCCATTAACACTGCGTATAACACCATCACCAACCATAATTTCAATAGCCAAGTGAGTTAGCTTCAAATTATTTCATGATCAGTAAGGAGAGGAGTGGTTCATGGCTTTTATAGCAGACTAATATAGGCAATCTTGTTGCTCTAATTAATGATCTTTAATGAAAGATTTCCATTTGCTTTAGATGAATATATAATGTGAAAAAGTTAAAGTTCGTTAATGTCCAAAAGCTAAAAAAGGGAGGGAATGTTAGAGGAAGTGGCATGGGGTGAAGGAAAAATCATACGCAGTATTTACACCGAATAAATGAATGCATGATGTGTGTCTTGCATATACAATTTAACTGTATTATTTATCCACAGTTAAGTGATACGTAATTTAACTTTTAACACTACTAGAAATTCGGGTTTTTAGCGACCACGAAAAACGACCAAAGTTGGTCGCTTATTGGCCAAAAAGCGACCAAAAAGCGACCAAACAGGCCTGGTCGAAATTAAGCTGGTCCCTTTACCTTAGGGAATTAGCGACCAACTTTGGTCTCTAAGCTAAAAGGACCAAATATTCCGGGTAAAGAAAAAAGCGACCAACTTTGATCGCTTTAATATTTTAATAATATAACTTTGGCGACCAAAGTTGGTCGCCAATTGTAAATTATATTTTTTATTTATTTATTATTAATCAAACAAAAGTGTCACGACCCTAGTTCACCAATCGTGAACATGTCGTGACGGCACCTGGTCCCCATGACTAGGTAAGCCTAACATCTGCGGAAATATAATACTTGCGAAAAAATAGAGAAAATCAAATCAGGTATCTAAAGGAAACTGTACTGAATGCCGCTTGGCAAGTACAACTCAATATCACAAGCCTAAAACAATTCCCAAAACCCGAAAACTCACGGGCAACACAGGCTACAGAAGTGTATAGTAAAGGTTCCAAAACTCCAGAATTTCTAACAATCGAAAGAAGGAAAAACTAAGTACTAAAGATAGAATAAGAGGGAGACTCGTCGGTCTGCGGACGCAGGAGATCTACCTCGAAGTCTCCGTAGTCCTCCTGCCTCACTGATAGGGCGCCTGAGTAGAGGTACCTGGATGATCTGCACATGAAAAACATGCAGAGGAAGGGCATGAGTACACCACAGCGGTACTCAGTAAGTGCCAAGCCTAACCTCGGTTGGATAGTGACGAGGAAGGTCAGGGCCATACTGAGACAAAATATAGTAATAACAATAATTAACAATATGATAATCTGACAGAAATAATAAATGCAACAGTGATATAAGACAGATTAAGCAAGGCAATAGTAAATACACAAGGACGGAACAACCACAGAATAAGTACAACTCAACACCAATGGTAACAATGAGGATCTCCCAGTATACCGTCCTGTAGTCCTTTTCTCAACTGTCCAGTGCATCTCCCGGGATACCGTCCCATAGTCCATCATATGTGTATATCCGAAGGATCTCCCGGGATACCGTCCCGTAGTCCAACTATCGAGGTGCAGGGGGATCTATCGGAAATCTAACCCGCAGTTCCAAAGTAAAAGTGCAGGGGGATCTACCGGGAATCGAACCCGTAGTCCCAAAGTAAAAGTGCAGGGGGATCTACCCGGAATCGAACCCGTAGTCCCAAAGTAAACAAACAAGGGGGGGGGAGGGGGGAGCTACCGGAATCCCACATCCGTAGTCCCAATGTAAGTGCGCAATCACAACCAGAAGGCACACGGAAGCGAAGTACAAAAGACAAGCAACAGGTAGTACTGGCCTAGCATGCTTCACGTAGTACAGTTAAGGCAACACAAGCAATTAGGCAAGTTAAATCAACTAAACATGCTTACCTAATCTAGCACAGGTTATAATCGCAAGTAGAATAAAGCAAATATGGAAGGAACTCAATCTCAATATCTTAAGAAAATCGGGTTTCCAACAATTGGCTCAAGTACACGCCCGTCACCTCGCGTACAAGGCACTGAAATCAACAAATAACAAATCCTAAGGGGAAAAGGTCCCCACACAAGGTTAGAGAAGCCACTTACCTCGAATCGGCACCAAAATCAACTCGAAATCACACTTTTGCCACGAGTATCCGACTCCAAATGGCCCAAATCTATTCAATTCAATTACATATCGTAAGTAATATTGCAAACAACTGATTCCACTATTAAATTTACAGCTAGGGCGCAAAAATAGGTAAAATAACCAAAACGCCCCTCCAGCCAACGTCCCGGAATCGAATAATTTTCACATTTTCAGAACCCTCGTACTCTCACGAGTATAACCATATAAAAATNATACTTTGGAAATTAAAATAAATTAAGCAATTACGTACCATTCTTCTTTTTATCATCCCTAGGCTGATCGCACCTCTAGTGTGCAAGGATCCTCCCTTCTTAGATGCCCGAGCTTTCCTTCCCTTTTCGCTCTTCTGTAAGAACTCTGCGGTAAGCCATTGCCTTTGCAAATCCTCCCATAAATTCTGAAGCAACCAGCTAGGCTTCTGGTTCAACTTTCTAGCTTTGGAGAAACAATGGGACAACCGCTTTCGAGCTTTTAGATGGAAATTTGCAGCCACATCCGTGCTATAGCGGTGTTCCCATACACACTTGCTCTGTATTTCAAAAGTTAAGTATTATATGGGATTATCATATTTAGATGGAAATATCATAAAAGCTATATTCGATATATTATACTTAGCTTTTATTAGCTAATAATTATTCAAAAGTTAAGTGCATTAACTGCTTATAATATAGTATATTAGTGCATTAGCTATATATATATATATATATATATATATATATATATATATATACACACACACACACACACACATACTATGCAATAAGTATTAGTGCATTAGCTAATAAAAGCTAAGTATTAATGCACTTAACTTTTGATTAATTATGTATTAACGCACTAAGCTTTTATCGAATATATATAAAAGCTATATTCGATATATATAAGCTAAATTCGATATAATATTAGCTAAATTCGATATAATTCGATATATATAAGCTAAGATATATTCTATAATACATATTTAGATGGAAATATCATAAATATAAATAATTATACTGCTTAAAAGAACATTTATACCTTAAATTGATTGAAGATTTGCTCCTTCAGCAAGAATGGGAATTCACTCCAAGTCGCATAAGGACCATCATAAAGCTTTCTGGTGGCTTTGGTGATTATCTTTGTAGTAATATTACTAGGGATGAACCTGCAATTTAATATAAAAAAACACAATAATATCTTAGTTGTGACGACCCGACCCGTCGTATCAGGCATTACTGCCCCGTTTTCCTCATTTATTACTTCTTCATATTTTATTACCGGTATGTGGTGAGCTAGAGTTGATTCGGATTGGTTTTGATAAGAAATGAGACACTTAGTCTCTTTTATGAAGGCTTAAGTTGGAAAAGTCAACCGGACGTTGACTTATGAGTTAGAGGGCTCGGAGGTAATTTTCGGTGATTTGGTTAGCTTCGGGGGATGATTAGTGACTTAGGAGTGCGATCGGAATTGATTTTGGAGGTCTGGTGTAGAATTAGGCTTGAATTGGCGAAGTTAGTATTTTGGCGGATTCCGGTTGATAGGTGAGATTTGATCCGAGGGTCGGAATGGAATTCCGAGAGTTGCTGTAGCTTCGATATGTGATTTGTGATGCGTGTGCAAAATTTCAAGTCATTCGGACGTCGTTTGGTTGGGTTTTTGAACGAATGCGTGTTTCGGAAGTTTTTAAAGAACTTAGGCTTGAATCCGATGAGAATTGATGATTTTAGTGTTGTTATATGTGTTTTGATGATTGGAACAAGTTTGGATAATATTTTAAGACATGTACGTGCTTATGGTTGGGGTCCCGGGGCCTCGGGTGAGTTTCGGGGTGGTTTCGGACCATTTTTAGGCTATTTTTAACTGCTGGTTTTTGGCTACAGCAGTGTTCTATGCGATCGCGGGGAATAGGTCGCGATCGCGGTGAGTAAAATGTGAGAAATGTGCCAATGAATCGCGATTGCGGAAATTCGTTCGCGATCGCGGAGAAGAAATATCCTGTTGCGTTGATCCCATTTCGGAATCTTATATCTCACAATCTATAAGGTATTTGGAGATGATCCAAAAATGAAAATTGTAGCCCTTTGTGTCTAGTTTCAGAAATGTAAATTAATTGGAATTTGAAGTTGTGTACAAAAAGTTATGGTGGTTACTCTATAGGCTGCCCGGGGAGGTCTCTAATACACAGGGATGACTTTGAAAGCTTATATCTCGCAATGTATAAGGAGTCAGGAAATGAGCAACATATGAAATTATAGCTCTATGTATCTAGTTTTCAGAACATCAAACCATTTGTAATTTGGAGTTGTGTGCAAAAGTTATGACCATTATACTGGAGGCTGTCCGGAAGAGCTGGGAACTGTTCATCGCGATCGCGAAGCATTGACCGCAGTAAATTTTGGGCTGGAAAAAAAATTGTTCTCCGCGATCGCGAAGAGTAAATACCTGGGCAGAATGTTTTAAAACACGTCAGTCGCAATTTTGGGGTCATTTTACACCCATAATTGCTCGTTTTTGGAGATTCTTGAAGGAGATTAACGAGGGATTCAAGGGGGAACATTTGGAAGTAAGTTTCTTGGACTCAAAACTCGTTTTTATTGTGAAATCCATCTAGGAAATCATTGAATTTTTGCTAAAATGGAGGAACAGGGCTTGGAATTTTCAAATTTTTAAATTGGGATTTGAAGGGGCAATTGTGGATGGATTTTGATGTTCTTAGTATGTATGAACTCGTGAGGAGATAAGGAATCCGGTGATGTGAATTTTGTAATTTTTTCGAGAAGTGGGCCCGGGGCTCGGGTTTTGCCAACTTCTTGATTTTCGATGTTTTTCGAGTCTTTTCGATTGGGTTATGTTTCCTTAGCATATTGTGATGTATTCGCTCTGATTTTGGTTAGATTCGGCGCGCGTGGAGGCCGATTTAAGGGGCAAAGGCGTCGCGGGTTTGAGATTTCACCAGTTCGAGGTGAGTAATACTTGTAAATGATATCCTGAGGGTTTGAAACCCCGGATTTGCACATCATAGTGCTGTATTGTGGTGACTTGCGCGCCAGGCATGAGCGTGGGGTAGAGCACCGTTGGGGATTGTGACTTGGTCGGT